TCAAGCTTCCATCAAACCCTGAAAATTTTAACACACCGAGAGGCGTGTTAAATTGTGGAAACGTTTGCAACGCGGTCTCGGTTTAACAGCGGCGAAGATCAACTTCATTTCCATTTGCTTTGCCGTTCACCGAGAACGTATCTACCTGGCGAGAACACCGGGCGAGAGAGAGAGAGAGAGAGAGAGAGAGAGAGAGAGAGAGAGAGAGAGGTATTCGTCGCCAGAGAGGTGCTCGTCCCGGTGCCGGGTCAATAATGGACGAGCCGGAGCAAAACGTCGATTAAAACTAATTTACCCGTCGAACGACGTCGTACCCGGGGACAATCAAACGCGCCATGTAAATTCGCCGCCGGATAGGAAACCGTCGACGACGACCACCGGTTCGCCGTAAAAAGGAGACCAACCAACCAACCCCCTCCCCATCCCGAGGCTCTAGCAGCCCCCCAACCTGGAGGAAAAGTAAGCAAAGATGAAATCGAACGACGAGGAGAAACGAGAAAAGGTATTTCCACTCACGGGGGTTCGATTTCTTTCGCCCGATCCACCACCACTACCACCACCACCACCACACCCCCTCCCCACGGCATCGGAATGAGATCTCGCTAATGTAACTGGCAGCCAACGAGTGGCTACAGTCAGATAGGTCGGTCGTAGGACAAAAATGGGGTGGAATAGGCAGGGGGGGGGGGGAAGGGGTGGTTGAGAAAGTGGCGAGGGAGAAAAACGAAGCGAGGGAGAAAAAAATGTAATTACAACGGGGGAATGATAATGAAGTTTACATTTTAATAACCCACCTTGTCGCCAGATGGCCAGATGTCTCGAATGGAATATTAATACATCCCCTCGCCGCGTGTTTCACAGCCACCGTGTCGCGAACACCGCAAGATCCAAGCCGGGCCTCTTTCATTCCGTGCAGTATGCAAACACGCGCGGAAGAAGGGCGAAGGAAGAACGGGGAGGACGATGTCAGAGCTGGCGTGAATTTTTGCGAGACCGGCTTCTAAAGTTGCGTGGAATTACTTGGGAATTTTTGCAATAATGGAGTTGAGAATCTGTGGTTCTAATTTTCACCGCTGGAGAAATTACCAGAATGGTCGAAATGTGACCAATTGTGTCGTAAGGAATACTCAGAAGTTTTACAGTAATGAGATTAAGAATCTGTCATTTAAATTTTTACCATTAGAACTATCAGAATGGTCAAAATGACCAATTGTGTTGCGTGGAATACTTGGAAATTTTTGCAATAATAAAATTAAGAATCCGTAGCTGGAATTTTCATTACTACAATTCTTAGAATGATCAACACAATTGAGTTTTTATTTTGCAACAATAAAGTTAAGAATCTGTGGTTTAAATTTACATTTCTACTACTTAGAACTAGCAGAATGGTTAAAATGGCCAATTGTGTTGCGTGGAATACTTGAAAATTTTTGCAATAATAAAATTAAGAATCCGTAGTTTGAATTTTCATTACTAGAATTATTAGAATGGTCAACACAATTGAGTTTTTATTTTACAACAATAAAGTTAAGAATCTGTGGTTTAAATTTACATTTCTACTACTTAGAACTAGCAGAATGGTCAAAATGGCCAATTGTGTTGCGTGGAATACTTGGAAATTTTTACAACAATAAAATTAAGAATCCGTAGTTTGAATTTTCATTACTAGAATTATTAGAATAGTGAACACAATTGAGTTTTTATTTTACAACAATAAAGTTAAGAATCTGTGGTTTAAATTTACATTTCTGCTACTTAGAAATAGCAGAATGGTCAAAATGGCCAATTTGTGACTTTCCAGAGAAGTTTCATAGATTTTATTATAAAAATTTTGATCGTGGAAATTTCCTCCATGGAAGAATTTGGTTGAAGATCTCAGTCCCAAGGAACAAACTGAGCCAGTCTTACCCTGAGTCCGGCCCTGACTGAAGATAAGAGGGAATGCACGAGAGAGGTGTTATTGCACTTGTGCAAAGAATGCAGTCCACGGCGTCGTAATATATTTGCCGTGGACCCGGGGCTACATGTCGACGCGTCAGCACGCTCCATTTCGGACGACACGAATCTAATTTGTTAAGTTATGAATCTGTCCGCGGTCGACGATCGTTTGGTACCATTTTTATTCTCTGTCCCTCGCTCCCTCTCTCTCTCTCTCTCTCTCTCTTTTCTTTTCTCTCTGCTTCTGAGACCAACGACTGACCCACGGTCAGCAACATTCAATTTTCAACTGTATCTCCGCGTGTAAAACACGGGCCATTGGTAACGAGACAGATTTACCGACGCTACTTCGCGCAAACCACTTCGTTTAAACTTTAAACAACAACCTCCAACCATTGTGTCTCCTTTCAATCGAAACTTTCGCGAAACATGTCGTCCTATTTTTTCTTTTTTTTTTTTTATTTTAAGACGAGCGAAACAGCAAGAACGAGTTTAACGAGCTTTCAACGAGGAATCGTCTTTTCGATGCTACCCACATCGAGGTCTGTCGAGGTCTGTTCAAGGCCACGCGGAGGAGTCGCTATTGCCAGATAGACATATACCAGATAAATAACAGTTAATTAAGCACCGTCAAAGAGCGCATCGTTCATAAAACGTTCGACAGTTTTTCTGACCCGTGAAGCGCGTACCTTCCCCGCCCTATCTCGCCGCGTCCAATTTTAAAATCGTTTTCCCGAAACGTCGTGGAACGGAGGACTCGTTCGCGATGGCATTCGACGATACAGCGGAGACATCACCGAAACGTAGCAACCATTAATGAGGATGGCAGACTGTCTTCGAAACGAGCGTCCAATCGCCGCGAGATCTACGAAGCCAACGGAGAAGCTTCTATCGGAGATTCGAATCTGAAGGAGAGCGAGCAGAGTAGGGAAAAAAAAAGACGAAAGAAAGCAAGGAGAAAAAGAGGGGCGAGAAGGGAAGAAGAAAGAGAAACGGCACGCGATGAAGATCCGCTACGTAACTACGTCCACGTAGGTGTTCCAGCGAGATTTTTCCCGTAATTATCGAGTCTCGTTTCTCCGGGGTAAAAGGGAGGGGAAAAAAAGCAAAAAAAGGGAGAAAAAAAAGAGAGAGAGGAAGAAAGAAGGGCGGCGGAGAAGGAGAACAAGAAGCGCTAGTTGCGAAAGTAAATGGCTGACGGCAAGAAGTAAGTGGCCGGAATGATTAGAGAGCAGCAGTAGAAGATACCGTTCATTAAGTCATTTTGCACAGTTGAACCTCCGCCCACTCTCTCTCTCTCTCTCTCTCTCTCTCTCTCTCTCTCTCTCTTGCGAAGGGGAGAAGGCTCCGTTTCGACGAGGCAGGCGTGGAAAGCAAACTGGCTGCCAACTCTCCCTTTGGTAAAAAGTAACATTAGCTTCGCTGGAGTCTAGCGCACCGGCCAGAAGGTACCTTCTCCCTGTTCAGCCATTTCCAACGGTAGTTCGCCTCTCCCTCGAATCGCGATTTACTTTTAATTTAGTTAATTCTCATGACAAAATGGTAAAAAAAAAAGAAAGGAAGAAAAAGTAGCTACGACAAATTGCATTTTTCAAGAATTTCGGGGAATTCAAGATTTCGAAAGTCTTGCAGAATGTAAAATATGTTTTTGACGAGTGTTTTGTGAAAAGGGAGTCCTGTTTGCTCCGTTGCGCCACCAGTTATGGCAGAGACAGACTCGCGTAATAAATTTTTACACGTCTGGATCTCTATCGATGTTGAATTCTCTCTCGCTGGATTACTGAAATATCACACTGTAAACCGAGTTCAACGAGCAGCTACTCCTCTCTTCTCGTTTCGTTTCATCTCCCCTGCTCGCTTCACTTCTCTCCTCTCGTAGCCTCTATCTTTCAGCTTCGTTCTACCTTCGTTCTCTTTCACCGTGTGTCCCACGCGAATGCCGGGTTACGTTTGACCCCTCTGTGTCCCCGCTCTGATTTCCACGTGAACTCGCACGAATGTATTTACGGTTCTTGCTCTCTCTTTCTCTCTCTCTCTCTCTCTCTTTCTCTGTGTGTTGCAGTACACCCACTTGAAGCTGGCTTGATGCTAATTAAGCTCCTCTCGAAAAGTTTACTCGAACTCTACGCGCAGCTTAAGCATTTACTGCAATTTTGTAATCTGGAGTGGTTCACTCACCGAGGCTGGACCCGGATGGTACAACCCCTTCCGTTAAATTATTATCGTTAATTCAGTTTACCGAGGGGCAACTTCGCGACTGGTAATAACGCGAGGGGAATACACCGTCAGAGGGATTTAAGACGAAGACATTCACGGCCAATTGCCCCTCCAGCGCGTTAACGAGTGCATTGTGCTCGTCGCGCGACTATTCGCTGCCGCTGAATGCGTCTAAACCTACGTAAAATCGTCGGAAATTCCGGATAAATGGCTGAACACTGATCGGCAGGACTCTAAGAACGTCGGAGAGATTTTCTAGATCTTGAGATCTAGAAAAATTCCTTTGGTCGTAGCGTATCTAATTTCATCAATTTACAAGGGTAGTTTTCACGTCGAAAGAATAATCAATAAGAAAGAATAATTTTCTGAAAACCACACTCATGCCAAAAATCGGCGATTAACATTTACGGTACATTTCCTTACAAGAGATAAGTACATAACATAGCGAATTTGATCTGTGATTCCACGTAAGCAAGCCCAATCCACTGTGTAGAAATGAAATTTTACTTAGTAACTTTCCGACGGCGTCAGATTAACAACGATATCCAACCCTGTCGTGCACGATTAACTGTACGATGAAACGACTGTCTCAGTTCTGGTGTTCAAAAAAAATTTTAAGTAACGATAAAAACCAACGAACTCCACTTACACGGAATCGTTCATCCCCCAAAACGGACCTTCCCATAATACTCGACCACCCCGTAGACATCCAACTTAACTACTTATATACTTAATCTTCTGTGTAACTTGGTCGAAAAGGTTCCCATCCAGTGGTTGTCAAACAAACACGCACGAACCGCACGTACACACTCGCCATCAACACGTTAAAAGGGTGAAACATCGAGCGATCGGTTCGGCAATTCCCCGCGACCTGATGGCCATTATCATATTCCTCGCGTATCATATCAAATTTATGGCTAATAAAGGCCGATCGAATAACAGGCTTGCGGGGCCCTGAAAGGTTCGCCGAGCACGGAGGTAGGACTCTCCGGGGGCCCGGGCGCTCTCTCTCCTTTTCTCCCCGGCTCGATTCCGACGACGTCCGCCAGCATCCGTGCTGCAGTTGGCTGGCTTTATAGTCATGCCAGTTGGCAGTAGTGGCAATTGATATGCACGCCATTGATATATGGGTGCATATTTCACAAGGTTGGCAGAGCCCGCGAGCTCTACGGTTTGTTATCTCGCGCGTTTTCTCCCTCGTTTCCATTTCCCTTCCTACCCCCCCGTCTCTTTCACCCGTTGTGCAATCCTACTTCTTACCTCTCTCAACCTCCTTCACTCTTTCGCCTGGCCAGACCGTGGCTACCAACGCGCGCAATGAATTATGCCCGTCCTTTGTTAAGCTCCTCGACGTGTCTTTGATTGGAAGACCTCGCTTGCCCGCTTCTTGCCTCGAAAAGAACAGGCTCGCCGCGAAACGTACGAGGAAACCTCTGACCCCTAACCGGCGACCTTCGCCGATCGTATACCTAACCCGAGCGAGACTCACCTTGCAGAGAGCAAAGCTCGTGCAAATATTCGAACGATACTTTCTACTTTTGTAAGTAGAGTACGTGTCGTCGAATTACGGGCTGAGCTGTTCCGTGTTTCAAATTTATATTTCTACGAACACGGTCGAGAAAGTGGGACACGATTGATTTGTTCTATCTATCGACGACTTTACTTGGAACGAAGAAAGCGCGACCTGCGAGTCTCCGTTTCTGCAAGTTTCTCACCGACTGCGGATTTCGTTTTGCACTTGAAAAAAAAAAAAAAAAATGAATTTCAAATCTAACGACACGTGGAATACGCAATATTTTGTGGAGATTTGTGTTTTTTTTTTTTTATAGAACATGACCGAAGAAACAGTACACAGGATCGATTTTTTTTTAACCAACTGATTGCGGACCATAACGAGTGACCGAACCGCGTACAATTCGTCGCTTTCTCTTTGAACTTTGTATGTTATCACTGGATTGGAAATTATTGACAAGTAATAAATTTATCATTTGTTTTGCCTGTGTATTTGTTTCTATACACTTAAATATATTTAAAACTGAGAAAATATTGCAATCTTGGGACAAAAGATTCTCGACGTGCGTAGCACGTCATTCCGGCGCAAGAGGTTAATCAATCAACGACTGGTTCCTTTACACGCGATCCGCAGATCACTTTTTCGCAAGTTTCGCAAGTTTTCCATAGAAAAGTGCAGATATTTCACACGCTTGAAAAGACTATTCCAATAATATTCTGATAATACAGAAAATGCACAATACGATGCACAGCCTGCACAATCTGAAATGAACTTCGATGATAATTAAATTCGTGAAAATCCGCGGTCTAACGCACAGATATCCGGGGACTGGCGATAAATCCACGCTTCTCGAACCGTTATAAAGTTGTACAGCTGGAAACTATCTCTCGAAAGTTGACAGCCATAGCTCGTGTATTTGTCCTCTAAATACCAGCGAGCATAAATCGCGAGGCACGGTAAGAAAGGCTGGCCGAAGCAGAACGCGTGCTAGCAACGTGTTTCCGCATTGTTCCGTGTGTATCGGCGGGGAAGGGACAAGACCAGGGTGAAATAAAACGCGTCGCTCCAAGATCGGCAACTTATAGAAAGCGGATTACCCCAGGTTCGCCTTCTCTATTGAATAAATTCATGAGTACACCGCACAATCGGCTATAAATTATCGAGTGATTTTTGTCAATATTCATAACGCGCGTTCGCCGGTACACTCCGATGCATATCGGAGCTTCGAGTTCCCATTGTCGTTGACTGAAAAGCAAAACGCGATGCTTTATCAGTCGAATTTGAAGCAATGGATGAAACTGCCGGCCGACAGGTGGCTAGTACGCCGTGTTGCGGTTCTTTCTCAGCTGTGATTCAATTCGCTGGTATTCGAGACAGATAATCAACGCTTTGGGCGAATCGTATTTGAGATTTCACGAGATAAGCGCGTAGAATGTTGGCATCACGTACTGTTCCGTCATGGTGAGAAAATACGCGACAAAAGAATTATTACCCATAGAATATTATTATTATTATGTATTAGTAGTATATGTATTAGTATTATAAATACACAATGTTTCGCAGTTATAGATACAGACATCGAAAAATTTTTATTTCCTGTGAAAGCTTCAAATATTTGACTCGATCAACGATCGTGTGTGCTAAAGACAGTAAACTATTCGAAAATGTTGTCAGATTATTTAAAAATTCAAAAATTATTTAGTATAGCAAGTCGCTGACGATGAGAAGTTGTAGATAATGTGGATCACTGACAATTTAAGAGAAACTTTACTCGGGAAAATGTTTATTTCCTGCGCGAGTTTCAGACGTTATGCTGAAAAGACACTCGTAAGTATCCGAAAATTGTTTTCAGATTAATATAGAATAATTGAAAACTGTTATCAGTAAACGACTGACGATCGATGAGAATTAACAAAGCAAACAGTAAGTACGAACAGTCATATTTATCCCGTCGGTATCGATCCGCTGGGGAATATTTTATTTGAACAGAATCTAACAGTAAACAGCAAATATTGAATGTTTGCTTTTTAACTGCATACATAGGTACGTACCTCCTTCGGCTGACATTTCAAACTCTCCTCCCCTTTGCCAATCGAAATCGATACTGACCGTCCTTCCGCCATCGTGCCTCCGAGAAAGAAGAGGAACTTTGACGAACTTCGACGGAAAAAAAAAAAAAAAAAGAAAAAAAGAAAACGAAGGAGAAGCAAGTGAAAAGGCCCAAGCGTTCTCCTATAAATTCTACGCGGGGGAAATTAATTTAAAGAAAAGGAGCGGGGAGGGAGCGACGACGTGAAGTCGCCGAAAAAGAAGAAAAAAAAGAGAAAAAAGAAATATTCGTCGCGTAATAAATTCACAGGAAACGTAGAATGCCCTTTTTGCTTTACGACGCACGTACCGTGGACTGGTTCGTGAGTATGGGAAAAATGTCACCAACTTTATCAAGAGTCACGCATTCCCAGAACGCTTATCATCGTCAGCCGACCTAATTATAATTGCCGTTCTGTGTTCGTCGAGGCTATAATGATAATACGTTTCCGTAATTCACGTTATACATCGTCGATGAATACCTAGAAGACGCGAACACGTAGACCGTGCACTGTATTAAAAAAAAAAAAAAAAAAAAGGGAAAAAACGGTGAAAGAGACAGAAAGAGAAAGAGAGAGAGAGAGAGAGAGAGAGAGAGAGAGAGAGAGAGAGAGCTTGAAACGGATACGTAATGCGTAGCGGCGTAACGCGAGATACATAATTTCCACGGGAAACGTGCAGCGTTAATCTTCAGTGAAAAAAAGAAGAGAGAAAGAAGAGAGAATGCACGAGAGGGTAAAAAGAGGAAAAAACGAGGGGCGGCGGAGGGAGGGGGAAAATAGAGGGAAGGAATTCGAGTGTGTATATATCGTTTCAACGAGAACGAGTGTTATCTAACGTCGGCACGCGATATACTGCTTTATTCCAGCCGGTCGTTTAACCTTTGGACAGCTTTTTAATTTCGCACCGACTAAAAGCTCTGCTCGTCAATCTGTCTTGCTTGCGATAATCTTATATAATAATGGACAGAAAGCTTAGGGAGGCTCGGACCGGTTGAAAGTTTAATGTAATCCACGAACCTTTTATATATTGCGACGATATATGATTACGGTACCAAGCTATCGTGCGTTTCTAGAATACTACAATATGCTGCCTTATTAACGCAAGACATGCGATTTTTTAAAAGAATCGAAATGCTGATTGAACGACAATCGAGGACTTTATTTTTTTGTTTACGAGTCTGTCATAGTTCGCTGGCAACATTGGCCAATTAACGATATTTCGATCTTACCGATCCAATGATATACGTGACAGATTTTACTCGAACGACAATCGAAGGAACGTCCTTTCGAGGAATTTCGCTTTCCGATCGCTCTCGAAACTATCCGGCCGCTATATTATTAACGATCCTTGCGGAGCCATCCAATGGCCACGATAATTCTGTAATAACGGCAGTAAAAGGACAGAAGAGGAATTCGTCGTTCGACGAATGACGGTAGCTTGAACGTGATTCACGTTACTCAGAGCGGAAGAGTTTAAGCCCGCGCCGGTCAGTGAAGGGATACGATAGCGGTCGTATAGAAGTCATTTATCGAATGAAGCCCTGTGTTCTCTCGGAGGAAGGAAGGAAGGAAGGAAGGAAGGAAGGAAGGAAGGAAGGAAGGAAGAAAGTCGACGAGGAGGGCGCGGTTTGATGTGGTGTTTAACCGCGGCTAAAAGTACATCCATTAAATCAATGGCGTGCCCTGTGGCCTCTTTCCGCCAAGGAAACTTCAAAAGATGTTTTTGCCGTGGAATACGTGCCAGCCAGAAGAGAGGAAAGATACCGTACACATCGGTTGCGTTTTATGAACCGGTAGCAAGATAGGATTTCCGTGCCGGTGATTCAGTTTCTACGTTCGACGGCTCGGGTTTTCTTTTTTCCTCTTTTCCTTTCTCTTTTTTTTTTCTTTTTTCATTTAGGAACACAAAAGGCACGCCGGAAGACACGTCTTGGTAGCGAACCAGTCGCTGAAATTTACAGAATGCAAAAACAGTAGACTCGGAAGCTTGTCTACCGTTGCTGTTTCTCGTTGGACTTCCGTTGACGTTCTGCTGCGTGGAAACGGAACTCAAATTCTATCATTTATATCACCAACATCATTTATATATCAATTATGTCGCTAACTTTCTAAAAGCGTTGCGATCAGTTATAAAGAGAGCTAGACGAATGCAGATATCAGAAGCAATTTTGCAAAAATGAATTGACCAGAAAATAGTAAAATTCGCGGAAACGAATCTATTCAAAAATGATCCAGCAGCGCAGCCAAAATGGATTGTCTCTTTGAAAATGGCACAAAAGAAGTTCCTGCAAGATGTTAACTGTTTCAAATCAACCAATATTTCTAAAATAATTGTCAGAAGCAATTTTGCAGAAATGAAATTTAAACAGGGAACAGTTAGCCAACATTTCAACATAAATAATTATGTTTCTAATGCTTTCTAACGACCAACTGAAACAACGTTACAAATACGTGTCCAGCCGCTTTTAAAGGTAAAACATTTCCTTTTCTTAGACAATCTAAGACCCTTTTGCACAGCGTTGCAAGCCCAGAAAGACAAAGGGCCAGAAAAGCTGCAGAAAAAGGAAATCGTAAGAGAGAGGATATCAAAGTCGCTGCTGCGTCTAACGTGCACTGATCCTTCCTGTCGACCTCTATGAGTATTGATTTTTGAAGACCCAAGCCTTCTTTCCCTCGTTACAGATCCACGCGAGTCACCCGAAATAAACGCGAAAATAACATGTCTCTGCAACATGGTTCGCTTTGATCAAACGAGGGGGGGGGGGGAAACTCTGTTCCGGTAAATGAAACGAATTGCTAGACGCGTATCGGCGCAAGATAAATCCACAGACATGCGTCAAAAGGCTCGAATTAATATACAGCCTCTTGCGAATGGGGAATTTTCACATACGAACGACGCATCTTAGCAGAAAATGTCCTTACGCTCAAGGAGAAGCTTGTCAGGTAAACCTTACTGATGATTCCAATTAGCTGGTTCCAGACGGGGGACGTACAATTTCTCCTTCCCTCTCATTTCTGCCTCTCTAACACATAAGCATTCATTCGACTCGCTCGAAAACACTATCTTCCCCGCTTCGTTCCTCAATCCGAAGGAACTGAAACTTTTTCAAACTGAACGCTATTATTTGGAACGTCTCTCTAACGTCGTGCTCTTTGATCAATCGGTAAATACGAACGTCGATCTTTAAAATCGATGATAATTATCTCGAATGTAACGGCGATCTTCTCTCGTGCAAATTATCTTTACCAAAAAGAAAGACGTCGAATCCTCGATCAGTTTGTCACAAACAAATACCGCTGCGTCCCAAAGACATGTCTTGAACTTCTTCGCGACAGAGGCATCGGAATGGTGATTTTCCAAATCCTCTTCAACTTCGTTCCGTCCGAATTCAATTACATAAAGAAACTTCCCTGTCCCGAAAGTTACCATCACCAAAAAAAAAAAGAAAAAAAAAAAAAGAAGATGAACTTCAGCGTCCAAACAAACTTCCTGGGGAAGATCTTCCGGTGAACGTGAATATACGTATCAATTCGGCGGGAAGGAGGGTGGGGAGAAATTTAATTAAAACGTCGCTGGTTTCGGGCATTATCAAGCTTGGAACGCAATCCCAGCGAGTTGGAAGCGCGTGCAGAGAGCAGCTCGACACTTTTTTTTTCCCCCTCCCGGTTAATCCGCGCCAGCGCGAAGAAGAGAGACGTGGGACGCGTGTGTGGAAACACGGGAAAAAGAATCGGTGGCCATCGCGTCTGGCCGGAGAATCCGGCTGGGATTAGTGTGGCGACGTTGTTCTAAGTTCGGGACATGTTCGGCGAAGAGGGCGGGGTCCGCGGGGGGAAGTGTGCGTGGGCGCATGGCGAAAAGCCAGCGGCAGACAGCCACTTCGTTTTCTCTTCTACCGATGCCACCAGACAAATCGGTGTTACACGCGCGCGTATACGCGGTGTTACGAATAAATGTTGGCCGGTGTCTGTCTGGCTCTCGGCGAACGATCGTACAGTGTAACATGCCAGGCATTGATAAGTGTCCTAGAACTTTTTTCGATTATCTGAAACACCAGCGAACGAGTTACAATGAGAATTAACAAACAATAGATATCTCCTACCTACTGGTCGATCCAATACGTATGTATATTTCATTCGAGGCGAAATGTAACAGCGAGCAGACAGTATACTCGCGAGGTATAATTCGAAACGACGAAGAAAGTTTATGCTTTGGAATATCTATCGGGATACGATTAGAACTTTCTGTCTACGATTTCCTTTCATTTCGGAGAATATGAATGAAACAGATATGATTAAATTAAAATATCCGCAATTTGGCAATTATTCGAAATAAAATAATTATTTGAAATAGATTTCATTCGAGCACAATACAGCCAGCAGATAATATTTGTGAGATATGATTCCAAACAATAAAGAATATTTACTAGACACTGTGAATTTTCTGTCTACAATTCCTTTCGTTTGTTTCAGAGAAAATACTTTGAGCACGAATGAAACAGAGAGAACTGTTAAATGAAAATGTCCGCGGCTCGGAAAATTAGTTTCGAGCGAACCTCGTTCCCGTTGTCTCGCTGTCTCGAACGTTACAACATCAACTTTTTTTTTTTTTTTTTTTTTCATACACCCCGTATATACGTTTCATTTCTTCGCAGGCTCGTGTGGGAAGATCGTGTCGCTCGTTCACGAACGTACTCGCGTGTATCCGCACGTGTCGCCACCAACACGACGTTCGAGAGATATGTAAGATTCCGGCCGCCCCCACATAGCGACAAATTGTTGCTCACAATCAGCTGATCGAGCCAGAGCTATTCAAAAAAACTTTAAATCTTCTTTCGGACGGTTCTTGCAGCTTGTCGAGCCGCGACACACATTCGTGTCGCGGATGCCTACACGAGGACGCTCGTGTGATTCATGCCACACGCCGGCCAACCGTAATGACACTGGCAAATTGCTGGGCTCCGGCACCGTTTCCCAATGATTTATCAACCATCGCCACCCCGTGCCAGTCGAACACGATTGTTTCTACCGTGATCGTCGCGATCAATCGGTACGCGCCTGCCAACTTGTCTTCCCGGCACCGACGCCGGAACTATCGACGATCAAATTATGAAACTCGCGTCGGAGGGAAATTGAACAACGCGAGGCACAGAGGAACAGAGAAGACAGAAAAGTTGTCGAAGTGTGACGAAGAACACTTTTATTGGAAAAAAATTATTCAAATATATCACGCGTAATATGCACACTCTCTTGCGAATCTAGAAAATTTTCACGAAAAATTGTGAACCAATCATTTGGACTATATTATACGGTCAAGGTAGCGTGTAACTGAATGGAATTTGAATTTTTGCTGTTTCTTTACTGTTGTTTAGCAGGAAATATTTGGAAGCTAAATTTCGATCAGTACGATGATCTTTCCAACAAATGAAATGCGTAAAAATTGCACGCGTGCGATATTAAAAATACGGAATATCGTAGGTTTTCCATATGAACCAATAAAA